ATAATCTTTGAATAAAAGACTCAATTATATTAACATATAATAATTATAAATTTATAATATTACATAACATTTAATTATATCATTTTTGACAATTTATATATAATGCTACAATTGTAAATTTTTTTTATTGAAACTATAACCATGAATTAAATAGATAATGCATATATGTTTACGTGTCACTATTAAATAAAAAAAAATTAGGCAAAACCCTAGCCTCCAAACTTATCATAAATTCTTGATTAAGCCCCTATACTTTTATTGAAGCAAATAAGTTTCTAAACTTAGTAATTTGAGTAATTTAACCCTTCTTCTTCTTCTTCTTTTTTTAACAAAAGATTTAATATTTGTTTATGACATGTGTAGACAAAATATTAATATGTTGTTATTTACAGGGTGTGTATTGATGTTATTCATGTAAGTAAAGTATAAACGTATATTAAGTTTACCATAAAGAAAGTAGTTAATTTGTCAAATTGTTAAGTTTAAGAGATTATTTACTTCAATAAAAATTTAAAATTTTAATAAAAAAATTTGGGGTTAACATAAGGTTTTGTCCAAAAATTACTGTAGTGATAAAGTATGCCGTTCTATGGTACAACCCATTACAGAAAAGCATTGGGCAAACAAACAAAATCAATTTTATTCATCCTATTTATAGTTTTTCTTTAATTAGGAAAAAAAAAAGAAAAAGAAAAAGAAAAAACAGCATGTCGGTCCTTATTTATAGTTTTTCTTTAATTAGAAAAAGAAAAAGAAAACGAAAAACAGCATGTCGGTCCAGCACAAATCATTATAATACATGTCAACATTAAACAAAACTGATAATGATATATGTGTAATTTTTTTTTTATAATTTATGCATATAATTTTTATATTTTACTTAAATAATAAATATATAATATTATAAATCTCAATAAAAAAATAAAACATCATTAAAAGATCGTAAGATTATTTAAAAAAAATTATGTGAAAAAATTAGTCTCAATCATTTTTTAAATAATATAAAGAAAATTTGGACTTTGTACACGTGCCTGATTGTTCCTTCGGCAGCCTTTCTGCCGTTTCTTTTTGGCCTTTCTTCAACTTGCGTAATTTGTTGGACTTTTCTCAAATTTGCATTATTTGATCCATACCTGATTGTTCCTTCGTCAGCCTTTCTACCGTTTCTTTTTGGCCTTTCTTCAACTTGCGTAATTTGTTGGACTTTTCTCAAATTTGCATTATTTGATCCAATTTGACTTTTAGGGCCCCTTTACTCCGTTTTCTGTCCTATATAAAGGCACCAAATTCAATCCCCTTTCGACAAACCATTCCTTATACTTCGTTATTGGCAAACACAAGAAAATCAAAGCAGAATGGGCTCTCTGAGATTAGAAAAGCCTCATGCTGTTTGCATTCCATATCCTGCTCAGGGTCACATTAACCCCATGCTCAAGCTAGCCAAGCTGCTGCACCACAGGGGCTTCCACATCACCTTCGTCAATACCGAGTTCAACCACAAACGCCTCCTCAAATCTAGAGGCTCTGACTCTCTCAATGGTCTCCCGTCGTTTCGTTTCGACACCATCCCTGATGGGCTTCCTCCCACCGACGTTGACGCTACCCAAGACATACCTTCTTTGTGTGAGTCCACTAGAAGAACTTGCCTTGCTCCCTTCAAAGAACTCCTTTGCAAGCTCAACGATCCCTCCTCGGATAATCCGCCAGTGAGTTGCATAGTTTCAGATGGAGTCATGAGCTTCACCCTCGATGCAGCCCAAGAGCTTGGCCTTCCCGAAGTTCTGTTTTGGACTACCAGCGCATGTGGCTTCTTGGGTTATCTCCATTTCCGCCATTTAATTGAACAGGGCTATACTCCTCTCAAAGGTACCTGTCAATATAAAATCTTAGCACAACTTTTAGAGGGATTTTTTTTTTTTTGTTTTACTTCTACTTTTAGGCTATTTTCTTAGTTTTGGAATTAATCCATCTTATGAATAATTTTAAAGATTTTTGACTAATTGATTTGATGCAACTAATATATATATTTTTTTCGAGTGATGGCCCTAAAATTTGAAAATGGTTGTGATTAAAAAGGTATTTTAGTGCTGTGGTCAATTCTTGCACGTGACACTAAAAGATATTTTAGTGTTGAGGTCGGAATTGAATGAGAGGCAAAGTACCAACGACCAACTATCAGATTTATGAAAGGGATACCTGTACGTTTAATAATTGATATTTTATGATTTATGATTAGATTATTTTTGTAAATTATTTTTATTTTTTAATGACTAAAAGCAAATGTAAAACTTTTAAATTTGATAGATTTTATCAATTTTTTCTGATAATTTTATATAAATTCTTGATTTAACACCTTCAGAATTTGTAGTTTGTTGGATATGGTCTGATTAGTTGATATGCATATTTTTTTTGTTTAATTGCAGACGAAAGTTATTTAACAAATGGGTATTTGGACACTGTGATTGATTGGATTCCGGGCATGAAAGG